TTGCCTCTGTGGGAGCCCAGTAATTGCCATTCATCAGGGCAGCAACCTGCTGAGGGCATCAATTCATAAACTCTGAGCCATCAATAAACTGCAACCTGGGCCCACGGTGCCAACATTCTTTACACAATGAAATATTATTACTGGCAATTAGGTAAACAATGAGCCAACCCGGAAATGGAAGGGAGGTTGCCAATGACTACCTTAGTGCGTCATACACAGATGTCTTGATTCTTTTCCTGCAAGAGAAACACTTTGGGATGACTCTTTTTACACCACTGGGAGCCAAACTATCACAGTCACCTCCATGGATGAAAGGAGGAAGAAAGAGGGAAATGTTAAGAGATGGGTTTTTGTTTTAATTGGGAAATGTGTTGTGGGGTGGTAAGTAACAGCCTTCTTATCATAGATATGCACAGACATCACATGCTGCCTTTGCAGGTGGCTGGCGGTAAGGTCGAGTGGGAGGAGGAAGGGCCCCGTGTAACTGAACTCAGCGAAGCTACCTCCACAGCCGAGGTCCCGGGGCAAACCATTCACCAGTGTCTGGGGCTTCTATGTTAATGAGAGCTGATGATTTGTGACGTGCTTAAGAGTTTAAAAAGATTTTGCCATACACGATGAAATTGGATCACCCTACTATGTCAGCGAGGTAAACAGGGTGGGAATTATGGCTTGTGTGCTATCGCTGTTGCCTTTAATAAGGGGAAAGGATTGAGAGTCAGAGACGCTAAGTAATTGCTCAGGACACTGAGGTCACTCCCAACCCAGTGCCTTTCCCATCCTGTCCAGTTGCCTATCTTGTTCGGATTTCCCCTCGGAAGGTGCTCAGACCAGGCTGGAAGTACATCACCAGTGTATCCAAAACCCACCACGAGGCACGCGGGCCCCCACCCTTTTCCCTCTGAGCAGTTCTTTCCCGGGGCTCTGACCTGAGGAACAGGGACATGGGCAGCCAGAGACGGGTGGGAGCTTGTGGGGAAGCCTGCTTCGCCATCGCCATTGCCATCGTGAGCCAGAAGACCAGGAGCGAAAGCGAAGGCGCCAGCAGCAGCTTCAGCCAGAGACCGGGCCCTGCGAGTTCTTTGAACTGACAAACAGAGTGGTCACGTCGAAATGCACTCAGAAAGTGGATATATGATGAATGTTTGGGATGTTTTATGAAGTGAAAAAGAAAGTAACTCCCCGGCCAGATAATTTCAGTCATTTTTTCTGTCTAAGTGGGAATTGATGAGTCCCTCATCTCCACTCCTGTTATTTTTACCCAAATAAATAACGCCCTGAGAGCTGTTTGATGGGAGGAGAACACTGCTGAAACAGGAAAAATCTGTGAGAGCACAAGTGCTGGGAGGCCAGGAATTTTTAAGAGGCACCATTAGAGAAATGCTGTGGTTTGGGGTATGTTCCTAAGGTAATGCGGTGCGCCCTGGGTCAGGAAATTCTTCTGACTGATAAATCATATTTTATTTTTTATGGGGTCTTAAGTTTATTAAATTTGTTTTATATATCAAACAAGTGTAGGATCGATAAAATGTACTTCTGAAAACTAAGCAGGAAATGGTGGTGCAGTGGTTAGAGCCCAGGAGGGAGCCCGCGGAGTCCTTACTGTGGCCGCGGCCACCGTGAGCTCTGGCCCTTCGTGGGATCTGGGCAGGAGAGCCAATGACTTTTCTTCTCCTAACCTCATCTTAAAAACAAAATAGAACAAAAACAGACCCTTTCACCTTTCGAAGCACTTGCCTGATTTAAGCTTGCTTACTTCCCTTATTTCTCCTTTTCTCCTCTCCTGTGGTTTATAAGCCAACTCAAAGTTGCTGGGGGACTGTAGCAGGTCTAGGATAGATATTCTTTATAGGCCTTTCAAGACCTCTTCACGGCAACATTTAAAATGTCAAAGAGAAAGGCCCCTGGGTGGTATAGCTGGTTAAGTGCCTGACTCTTGGTTTCAGCTCAGGTCCTGTTCTCAGGGTTGTGAGTTCGAGCCCCAGGTGGGGCTCTGTGCTCAGCATGGAGCCTGCTTGGGACTCTCTCTGCCCCTCCCCCTTGCTCACACACTCTTTCTCTCTCTCTCTCAAAAAAATAAATCTTTTAAAACAATAAATAAAATGTCAAAGACAGGACAAACCCTAATGAAAAGTTTACAATAGTTATATTTGACCTTTGCTCATGGTAGGAGCAAGGATTGAGCAAAGAGGATCCTGAGAGAAGTGCATATAAAATATGGAATTTCCTCTGAAGTTTCGATAGAAAGCCTTCTAAAGTTTCCCTAAGTCCTAGGTGTGGGATTAATTTTTAGACTCAGGAGAGGAAATAAATATTAGAAAATAACTATTAAATCAAATACTCCCCAGGCTAATGATACATGAGAAGAGATGTGCTGAAGATTTCTAGGTATGGAAAAATAAGATTTTGCATTGTGTTCTTAAACAAATGTTAGAATCACTTATTTTAATTATTAGTTGTGCATTCCATTACATGAAGAGAAATGCTGTCAAAACGTGTTCCCGACTCAGTAAGAAAATGTTCAACCCTGACCTACTGATTTGTCGTTCGGAGCCGTGTGGTCATCATTTATGCGTCACAAGGCTGGTGAGCAAAATTAACCTCAAATAACAAAGTGTTTACGACGTTAAGGGAACAAACACAATTGACTGCAACAAATTGAACAACATTCTAATTAATGTCTCAATGACTCAAATCACTATTTAGAAGATTACTTTAAAATGAACATTGAATATCACAGGAAAACTCTACTCATTCACTCAAAATAGACCGAAACTTTTTTTATAACTATACACAGATTAACTATAAATATATTTAAATTTTATGGCAACAGGTATGTAAATTTTTCCTAATATTCTCTCTCCTCACCCCTGACTCCCCAAGAAAAGACTAATGCCTGATCCACTGCTTTGTATTTTCTAAAATCTTGTGTCAGAAACTTCTTCACTAAAGTTTTTAGTTGGGTAGCTTTGCAACTTATGGTTCATGAATTTAACTATAATTTTGTTCATTACTGAATCAAGGACTTTGTGGTCTGTATTCATTTATTTCCACATAGTATGTTCTTTTTATTTCTCAAGATGTTGTCACAGGTAGCCAGACTTTTTCACCCATTCTGCATGAATACAGACGGCGATTGCTACTGGCAGCCATTCTGTGACCTAGAGAGAATCCGCCTGAGAGGCTGACTAATATAGTGGCTATCTGAGCAAAGAGATAAAAACAAATAGATCTCTGATAACATTGTGAGCTAACTGGCAGCTCAAAAGATTGCCCTACCTCTAAACTTCCTCTAACATGAATAAAATTATTTTGTTATTGTTTAAACTAGTTTAAGTCTGGGTTTCAGTGACTTAGAGACAAGAGTATACTAAGACAATCCTCAAAGAAAAAGAGATTAAAGAAGTAGCACAGAGAAACTATTCAAATTACAATTTTTCCTAGTCATCCATGATCACTGACTAAATTTGACCCAAGTTATTGAGACATACAAGTTAAGATCAAAGCAATAACCACAGATCAAAGAGATAAACAATAAGAGAGGACTCCAAATATGGGTTGCAAGCAAGAGTTGGACACTGCACTTACGGTGGTCCCTTGCTTACCTGATGCTGCTGGTGGTGGTCTTGTTGCTATTGTTAAAGCTTTGAGTTTCCTCTAGGAGCTTTATTGTATGAGTCAAGTAATTTGCTGTCTACTGAACTCAGAATGTGGTTTCTCTGCATCACCAAGAGTTGAAACAAGCTATCATTTAATTTTGTTTATTTCTACATGCCTACCTAAGAACAAAAGGGAATCATTTCTCAGCCCTTGTGTAACACTAACAACCACTCAGATGACTGCTTTAGCTCAGCGTTGCAAGTTTTTCCTTGCATCATCATTTGACTCATCCAGTTAATGCATAACACCCTTGTGCTTTGACAGTTTCTTAACAAAGTGTAATCTTTCCGTGTCCTTCACAGGTTGACCAATTGCTGTTGCTGTTCAAATGTACAAGTTCATTTTTTTTCCTTTTTGTCTCCTATTCTCTAATAAAGTATTTCAATAAGTTTATTTTTTAAAAATAAGAGCAGCTAGAAGAGTCTGAAATCAGGTTGCCTGGGTTTGAAATCCAGTTCTTACCTACAAGTTCTTAAGTAAGTAACAACGTCTCTGGGTATTAATTTCCTCATTTGGAAAATGAGGAATAAGTAAAATCTATCTTATAGGATTGCTGGGAGGATGCCATGAGTAAATACATGTAAAGCACTTAGAATGATACTTCACATGCTTTATATAATAAGCTATCCACTCATTCATTTATTTAACAAATAATTCATTGAGCTCCTAATATGGGTGCAGCACTATGTCAAGAACTTATAAGAATGCAAAGATAAAAAGGCGCAGTCTTTTTCTGCTTTCAAGTAGTTAACTGTCTAGTGTGGGAGAAACAACACAAACAAAAATAACATCAGAGAGTATTCAAAAAGCATCAGTTAAGTATGTTATATATGAAGAGAGAAGACGGAGATGGGCTGATGCTGCTTTTGCTTTTCCCTTATAGTCATGTAATTTATGGAGTGTAGTGATTTTGTGTTTTTTCTGTTGCTATAAAGATTCTTTTGTCAAAGCTTGCTTGCTTACCTGTTGCCTGTTTTCTTATTAATCCATATGGCAAAGTAGCACAGCATAAGCAAAGATACTAAAGAAAGTACCAAGACAGAAAACACTGTGGTCTTCTCTCTGATTACTGAGTAGAACTAACCATAATTTCCTGTGTGACTCATCGTGCCCTGTGAATACCTTATTAACTGAAAGATCAAACATCATATCCTCTTGAGTTTTGAATCCCCAGTATCTAATAAAATGTCCCCGATTTCAGAGATCTGGCCAATCCAAATATCACTTTTTCCTGATCACAATGATTGGTTTAGAAACAGGAAAATCACCCAAATCAGACTCAGAAATTTTCTGCCAGGGCAATTGTTGAAAGACTCATTCTGTCTGCTCATTTTGCCAAGCTGTTGGACTATGATGTGGAATTGTCAACAACCATCTTGCTGCCACCTGGAGAAAGTCTGAGAAGGAAGCAGAACAGCAGAGGCAAGAGAGCCAGAGACATAAAGAGAGAAGGAGAATGCTGACAGAATTGGAACTCTGGATTTAGCTGGGCTCGGCCCCCCACCTGGCCTTCACAGTTAGTGAGTAAATATATTCTCTCCTTGCTTAAAACCATCTTGGATAAGGATGTTTGCTTACATACAAGACTGAGAGTACATGTTATTATTATTCACAGGATTTTTTTGAAGTTAAATCTTTCTAAAACACAGTTTTATTATATGAATAGTTATGGAATTGAAGCAATCAACAAAGTTCCCATCCCCCCATCCCTACCACAACCCTCAACATTGTCATTTGCATAGAGCTCTACAGTTTACAAAGAACTTCTTCTGTCACACTGGATCCTAATTACAATCCACTCATCAAGTAGGGGAACATTGTTATTAATTCTTTTTTTTTTTTTTTAAAGATTTTATTTATTTGTTTGAGAGAGAGAGAACACATGAGAGGGGATAGGGTCAGAGGACGAAGCAGACTCCCTGCCGAGCAGGGAGCCCGATGAGGGACTCGATCCCAGGACTCCAGGATCATGACCTGAGCCGAAGGCAGTCGCTTAACCAACTGAGCCACCCAGGCGCCCATGTTATTAATTCTTGATGTGCAAGGAAACTAAGGTTTCCATCAGTTAAGCAGCTTGCCTAGGTTAATTCATTTTGTAGATGAGTATCTGTTTTTGAAAATTTAATTTTCCATCATAAAAAAAATGTATATTGAGTTATACTTGTAGCCAAAAACCGAACAACAAACTCAGTTTACCCTCCCATTTTGAACAATGTTGAAGAACCAGGGAGAAAAAAAATTTTTTTTTTTCAGACATTGAAAAACCACAGGCCTATAATCTCTGAGAAAAGGGAAACAAACTGAACCCTGCAGTCACACCAGCCGAATGCCTAGAGGCAGTTTCCAGGCTGCAAATCAGGGAGGAAAAATCTGAAAAGTACCTTGTAGTCTCTCTGAGTTGAGGAAACAGAGAAAAGAGTTCCAGAAGCCAAGGCATCCAGAACTTAGGGGTGGAATGCCAGAAAGGAGGGAACTTCAGGGAGCTCCACAGAGAGAGAGCTCCAAGGATCTGCAGAAGCAACCTTCAGTTTTTGGCTGAGTACTAATCAGTGCAAGTTGGGAAAAAATGATCTAAGTTCAGAGAAAGAGCCAGTCTGAGATGCTTACACCAGTCTGAGAGTAGTTTGCATTTCCACCAGCCAGAATGGAAAGGCATTATATTACAATAATAGGGATGAATCCCCAGAAAGGCCATGTGTTGGTAGTGGGGCTGACTTAGCCCTAGATCAAAGGCTCCTCTGCTTCCATCCTAGCAAAATCTAAAAGCAAGTCTCAGAATGATCCAACTGACTCCAAGTAACTTAACTGTACACCAAAACAAAATGCAACACTATTTATAGGAATACAGTATAATCCAGCTAGCAATAATAGAAAATTCACAATGTCTGGCATCCATTAAAAAAATTACTAGACATGCAAATAAGCCTGAAAATATCAACTCTAACCAGGAGAAAATTCAATCAATAGAAATAGTCCTAGAAATGACAGAGATAAGGGAATTACGAGAAAAACATTTGAAGTAGTTATAAATATGCTCCATATGTTCATGGAGGTAGAAAAACACATAAGTATGATGAAAAGAAAAATTAAAGATATGAAAAAGACCACTTCTGAAGATGAAAAATGAACATTAAATGAAAAGTGATTTGGGTTAAATTGGCAGCATATTAGTCACTACAGAAAAATAGGCAATAGACTGTTGAAAAAAATTATTGAAGTAGTAGAAAATATTAAGACATATCAGTTGAAACTATCCAAAATGCAATACAGAAAAAAAAATATTGAAAAATATGAAGAAAGCCTCAGTGACCTATGAGACAATACCAAGCAGTCTAATAAATATGTAATTGGATCCTGAGACAGGTGAAAGAGAGCAATAGTCTTTTTGACTCACCCCACACCCCCACCCCCACCCACTGCTCATGCTCTGTCTCTCTCAAACAAATAAATAAAATCTTAAAAAAAAAAACAAAACCTAACAATATGCTGTCTACAGAAATTCAGTTTATTATGTTAATCAGAATTCAACAGGGAAACAGACCAATGGGACATATACAGACATATACAAATACAGATTATATATATACATATGTATATAAAATAGATCTCTTTACACATATATACATATATGTACATATACAATATATATACATATTGAAGTGGCTCACATGATTATGAAGGCAAGGTAGTCTCAGTCTGCCATCTGCAAGCTGGAAACCCAGGAGAGATGGTAGTCGAGTTTTCAATCCAAGTCTGAAGGCCTGACAATCAGAACTGATGGTAAAACATCCAGTTCAAGTGCAGGAGAAAACCAATGTTCCAGCTCAAAAACAGGCAGAGAAGAGTGAATTCTTCTTTATTTCTCCTTTTTACTCTATTTACATTTACAATTGATTGGATGAGGCCCAACCCTATCTACTCAGTGTACCAATTCAAATGTTAGTCTCATCCAGAAACACCCTTACAGATATACTCAGACTAATGTTCAACCAAATATCTGGGCACCCTGTGGTTCCACCAAGTTGACACATAAAATTAACCATCAAAAATATAAATACAGCAATGTTAAACGTTAAAAGATGAGAAAAGATAGATCATGAAAACACAAATAAAAAAAAAAATCTGAAGTGACCATACTAAATATCAAACAAAATAGACCTCAGAATAAGGAAGATTACTGCTAACGGATCAGTTCATCAAGAGGACAAAAACAAAACAACTTTCTAAATGTGTATGCACCTAATAACAAAGCTTCAAAATACATGAAGCAATAACTGAGGGGAAAAGCATGACAGGATAAATAGGAAATCTATTGCTATGGTTGGGGAGTTCAACACTCTCTGAGTAATTCATAGAAGAAGTGGACAAAAAAATTAGTAACATTATAGATTTGAATACCACTACCAAGTGGCTCATTTTACATGAAGCATTGCTTAGAGGAAAATTTACCATTCTAAATGCTTCCAATTTAAATAAAGATCTATAAAAAATGATCTGTGCTTGCACCTTACGAAACTAAATACAGAAGAGTAAATTCAGCACAAAGTAAACATGAAGAAAGGGATGAGAAAAATAAGAGCAGAAATCAGTGAAAGAGCAGAAAAAAGAATAGAGAAATAAATAAAACCAAAATTTATGTCTTTCAAAAGAAAAAATTGGCAAACCTCTTGCCATACTAATCAGAAAAAAAGAGAATACACAAATTATCAGTATCAGGAATGACAGGGAGGGCATCATGATAGATTCTACTGACATTCTAAATATAATGAAAAAATATGAACCACTTTGTGCCAATAAATTTTAGAACTATGATGAAATAAAGAAAATCCTTTAGGGGCACCTGGGTGGCTCAGTCGGTTGAGTGTCAGACTTGATTTCAGCTCAGGTCATGATCTTGCGTCAGGCTCTGCACGCAGTGTGGAGTGGGCTTCAGATTCTCTCTCCCTCTCCCTCCCACTCTCTCTCTCTCAAATAAATAAATAAAATCTTAAAAAAAAAAAAGAAATTCCTTTAAAATGCAAATTACAAAAGGTCATTGAAGAAGGAGCAGAAAACCTGAATAGCTCTACATTTGTTTCATTGAAAACATAGTTAAAAACCCTCCCTCAAAAAAGGAAACAAAACTCCAACATCAGATAACGTTACTGGTAAATGCTACCAAAAATATAAAGAAGAAAGACTATCAATTTTATAAAATCTCTTTCAGAAAATTGAAGAGGAGGAAATACTTCTCACCTCATTTTATGTGACCAATATCAATCTGGTATCAAAACAGACAAAGACAATATAAGAAAATTAGGGGCCAAAAAGCCTCATGAATATCCTAACAAAATTTTAGCAAATAAAATCCAGGAATATATACAAAAGATAATAGATTGTGACCATGTGGGTTTTAACTAAACAATGCAAGGTTGTTTTACTATTTTAAAATCAAAGTGATTTATTGTATTTATAGAATACAAAAGACAACCCATGTGATCGACTTAATTAATAGAGAAAAATGTTTGATAAGATATTTTTATGTTTGATAAAACCCAAGAGTTATTTATGGTAAAAACTCTCAGGAAACTGAAAATAGAAGACAACTGCCTCAACCTGATAAAAGGAATCAATGTATTGCTCTCATCATGCAAATACTGAAAAGAGGACAAATATTTCCTCTGTTCCTTTTATTCAATGTTGTATTGCAGACTCTAGCCAACATATTAAGTCAATAGAAGAAAAAAAGGTATACAGTTTAAAATAGTCTACATAGACAACCTTAAAGAATCTGCAAAAATGCCATTAAAACTAGTAAGTCAGGGGTGCCTGGGTGGCTCAGTCGGTTAAGCATCTGCCTTTGGCTCAGGTCATGATCCCAGAGTCATGGGGTCAAGCTCCGGGTCAGGACCCCTGCTGAGCGGGGAGCCTGCTTCTCCCTCTCTCCTTTTGAGCAGGGAGCTTGCGTCTCCCTCTCCCTCTGCCACTTCACCTGCTTGTGTGCTTGCTCTCTCGCTCTCTCTCTGTCAAATAAATAAATAAAATCTTAAAAAAACAAAACAAAACCTAATAAGTGAATTTAGCAAGCTTCCGGGAATCAAGGTCAATATATGAAAGGATACCACATTTTATAAACAATAAACATTTAGAAAATTTAAAAGATCATCTCATTTACAATATTATCAAATAATCAGAAAGTTTAGGGATATATTAATCAAAATAATGAAAATATGTACACTGAAATCTATAAAATATTCCTGAGACAAATTAAGGAGGAGTTAAAAAAAAATGGAGATATGTACCATGCTTATGGATCAGAAGACTGAACACTGTTAAGATAGCAATTATCACAAATTGAACTATAGGTACCATAGAATCCCAAGTAAAATCCCAGCAGCACATTTTTCCTTGTTAAAAATTTATAAGCTGATTTCAAAATATGTATGGAACATCAAAAGATGTAGAACAACCAAAAGAACAGTCAAGTTTGAGGACCTGTATTACCTGATATCAAGGTTTATTAAGAAACTACAGTAATGGG